TTCGATACTTACGTTAGTGAAGAGAGTTTGTAAGTTGGAAAGTGAGAGAGATAGTATGATTGAGAGCTAAATCGCGCATACCAGAAAAGGATGCCCTTATATAGGCATAGGTTGTCGTGGGCTTCACGTAGCGTGCCCAAGATCATCGACTCGTTTGGTTCAGTGGTGGCTTCACACCCGGAGACGGACTCCTTGTAAAGTGATAATGCTTATCTGGTTACCTCCGAAGCAGGCGGGGTAGGAGTCAGTTTCGTTGATGTGTCTATGTGAACCTAGAGGAGTTGGGGATGGCAACCYGCTCGTGGAGGAGGTCACCCGTCACGTCGTGCATGTCACCAATTGGGCCTCGGTTTGGTTGGCAGAGGCAGGTCGCCTCTTACACTGACCTAGCACATTTCGGGGTGTATGTAGGTCATCTTACCGAGTTGGGGCCAAGAAGGTTGAAATGGGTAAGAGGTGTTTGACGTGTTCCCGAAGTTGATGCTTACATGGTGTTGAGGTGTCGTACGGTGGTTTTGAGGTGCCATGTGTCGTGATGTCACTAGAGAACTAAATCACCTCTCATCAATTGCCCCCACTCTCGAGTTGACATCGATTCGGCGAAGGGAATAGCTCATCATGGATCCTTGGCCCGGAATAATTGGTTTGATCAGTCTTTTGTTAGTTTGGTCTGCTCGCCTGAATCAGTCTCGCAAGTAAGGTTGTGCATGCGGTGATTCAAACTTCAATATGAGCACGCAAATTCAAAATTTGAATTTGCACATGGAAATTGGAATGGCGTGCCCCCCTGTGGATCGTTGGATTGAGTGCATTTTGGGAGTTGGTTGTTTGTGCCCCTTCGCTATAAATAGGGGGCCCTCAATGGGTCCCATTTGCACTGTTTTGAGCTTTTGGCAAGTAAAGCGAGAGGTTGGTGGTGAGACTTGTAGCGAGGCCGCTTGCAAATTGACAAAGCTTGTTTGGGTAGGCAAGGCTGATCATTTAMTCTAATACGCCGGTGAGTCCCACTCTATTTTTATTTGTCTTCAAGTGAATCAAAGAGGGAGCCTTCCCATTCTGATTGAGCCAAGGAAGGGGCCTCAATTCAAGAACGAAGGGGTTCCCAAACTGGGTTCTCATCCTCTCAACACGAGCTGTAGACAGGTTCTCAGTTTGGACCTACTGAGTTGAGCAAGGAGGAGATCATAGGCCTAATCTCTACTTTTTAGATTCCGAACCCATTTGATTGTATCCTTCCCGGCCCGAACCAATTTCATTGGAGTCACAACCAAGTCGAGGTCTGCATCTTTAGGAGGCTCTGATTGCTGGCCTCCAGTTTCCCCTCCATCCCTTCATTTATGAGATTCTCAACTATTATGGTGCTTCTTTGGGTTAACTCCATCCTAACAACATTAGGACGATAGTAGGAACTCTATCGGCTTGTTACCATCTTGATTTCCCTTTAGACATAGAGATCTTCTCAGGATTGTCAAATAAAGAGGATTCCCCACGAGCCCTACTATTTTTACTTGAGCTACCGGCATGGCTATACTCCTAGGTGACTTCTCGACTAAGGTGAGGCATTGGAAGAATAGAAATTTCTTCCTCTCCTAAGAGGACTGCTAGCCTATGGGCATAACCTCACAACGTGAGTTGAAGAGAGGCTTTAATATCAATTTTGATGAGGCATTATGTAGAGAGGTTCAACACCTCGTAGCTCGACGGTTAATGATCGATTGAGTTTGATGAGGCATTGTGCAGAGAGGTTCAACACCTCATAACTAGACGATAAATTTTTAGCCGAGCCAATTCTTGTGCAAGCTGCTTTGACCCCTATAGGTTGGTCGGCCTAATCGTCGTTTATTATTTCTGTGCCGTGAAAACACTCTTTCAATCAGATTGACTTATTGTGTCTCCCTTTTTTTTTTTTTGCAGAAATGTCGAGTACGTCATCCGTTCTTGTAGTCGCTAAAAGGCCTTTAAAGAAGAAGAGGAGGGATGGAGACTCTTCAGTGCATTCATCGGCTGAGGGCAGGTTGGTAGGAGTGTCAACGGTATTCGAAAATCTGATATCAAATTCGAAATTCGACCTAATCGAATCGAATTCGGATAATTCGGATAATTCGGATATCTAATCAGTCGAATTTGGATGTCCTATTCTTACCGAATAGTTAATCGAATTCGAATTCGGATATGACTTGATTCGATTCGATAAATATCTGAATTCGACCGATTATTTAATTCTTATATATAATATATAAATTTTTTAAATGTTTTATATACATAATAATTAAATTATATAAATAATGTATATATTTATATACTTTATATAAATAAAATATTTGTTTTATATATTTATTAATTAGTTAAAGTAATTAATCATTTAAATTCAAATCGAATCGAATATTTAATCAAATTCGAATTCAAATATTAATTTTCAATATACGTTAGATTTTGAATCGAAATCGGATATGAAATTTTTTAATCGGATTCGAATTCGGATATTTACCTGTTCCGATTTTTTTATCGATCCGTTTACACCCCTACAGGTCGGCCGAAGATAGGCCGACTGAGCGAGTGGGTGGTAGTCAACCTCGATGAGGGAGGCGGCCCCCAAGATAGTTTAACGGAGCTGGAACACGGAAATATGGAATTCATTTAACTCGCAAGCAAAGTAGTTAGTTAAGACGAATTCAAACCAATCTCCACGATAGTTTCCTACAATGCCGCACAGCACATCCCCACCGTGCAATGAGAACATCTCCCGATGATGCTTTATCATTTTTGTCACTATCACCGGGAGWTGTTCCCAATAAAAGGCAGGGATTTTCTGTGAGATGTTGTAGGAAACTACCGTTAGAATTTTCATTCAAAACCCAATCCGAAATACCATTTCTATTCCTACAATCTCTCTCTCTCTCTCTCGCACTCTGGTTTATCACCGTGACTTCAGTCTCTGTTTCTACCCCCGTGATTCGATCTTTTGGTGCTGAAGGCTTGTTCAACCCGAAGAGATTATTCAGCTTGATAATCTGAAAACCGGTGAGTCTTTTTTTTTCCTTTTTTCCTTTCTGTTATTCGTGATTATTTTTTCTTCTGTAGTTCCGATTAATTTTGGTAAAAACATTCTTAATATTGTGTAATGAAAGTAATGTTTTCATTCTTCATTAAAGTTTCCTTTGTGCCTCCAACCTGGAACAAATTTAGGGCTTTTGGTTTTGGTCGCGACACTAGTCTAAGCAGAGGCCCAGAGGGCCAGAACCAAGAAACTTAGTTGTCTTCGCCTTTCCTTTTTTTTTTTTTTTTCTTTTGCTTTTTTATTCATCAAATCTTCGTATTATTTGAGTTGTCTGTGGTCATTGTAAAGATTTCTTGGGTTTGGAGATGGAAATCTAAGATCTGAAGGAAACGTCCATATGGATTTCCAAGAATTTTTCAATTTCAAAGTAGATTTCAAGTGGACGAAGACATTGTTGCAGACATTTAGCAACTAGCGCGGTGCCCTCGTTGAGTTAAATTTCAATTTGGGTTTCAGATTCGGACATTTCGTCTCACCATAACGTATGAAATTCTGTAAGAAAATTAATATTAGTTGTTGGGTTTTGGACATGCAAAGATTTCATTGGTCTTGATAGGGGTTTTCTTTCTGACAAGTGACGAGTAGATAGAGTATTTTGCAATTTCTGATTTGGGTTAGAGAAAAGGTTGAAAATAGCAATTTGATGCTTGTATTTGTGATACCGATATTCATGTCCAGTGATATTATTGGTTTTGAGATTTATTTTGTACTTGGCTACTTTTGTCTGTGACTCTTGAGTTGAGATATAATCGACACTTTGATTAGTGTTTAGGAGTAGCCGGTAAGGAATGATTTATAACAAAGAATTTATAGAGAATTGAACTGCCAAAGTGGGTTTAGAAATTGGAAAATTTTGTTGGTTTCTATTTGTTTTATCTTTGAGTGCGTGTTGTCTGTTTGAAAATGCATAAGAAAACCATCTCCAATTTCAAAGGCGCTTATACATGGATTATTTGTTATGGAGAATGTTTATTGTACCGCCTATGGCTTTTGTTGTTGGCTTTGGTGATTGGCAATGCAATTTGGTATACCTGTTTACGAGGATGCCCTTGTACCTTGCAATGGTGGGTATTATTTAGAATTCTGTGGTTTTCTTTTACAAAAGTCTTTTAGTATGGGAGGAAACCTAATGAGAAATAGGAAGTGTTGACTCATTATGTTGCTCCCAATTGTTGCCAGTCTTGGGCTCAATTCATTTCATTAATACAAACAAATATGTACAATAAAGATCCAAGAAAAGGGGTAAAAAACCCCTAGAAAACAGCAATTACAAGCAGAGCCCAGTACTTGCCCCCTATATACCCCTTGTTTAGCTAAAGAATCAGTCATCCAATTTGCATCCTTGGAATCCATTGAAATACCATTGTCATTTTTTTCTTTTTTTGGATTGGTAACTTTGGAAAAAAATTATTATGAAACAGAGAATATATATACACACACACACACATCCCACCACTTGAGTGGAATTTAGATAATGGGATCTGATAACTTTTTTTTTTTTTTTTTCTTTTCCCCTCGGATCTTGGTGGCTTTATTGGTAGTGCTTTTACATGACTGATTTTTCTGGACTAACCTTATTTTTTCTGGATCAACCTATTGATTCCCAGATAAAGACAATAGAGACAGATAAAGGAAATGGAGATAAGACTCCATTTCCTAAAATTCCAGCTGCATATATGGGTGTTGATTTCATGCTATATGCTTATATCATGGTTCTATATCAAGTTTTTGAAGTTAAACATAATTTTTCAAGACTTATTTCTTGTCAAATTTAATTAGATATCTTAAATGTACAGTTCTTTTGTAGTATAATCTGTTAAAACATACCATTTTGTATGTTCTAGAAGTTTTAATTATAGAGTACATCTAGAAAGAGTCCAGATTTAATGCTTTTGAACTTGAAGGGGTTTTCCTTTTAGCCCAAATGACCTAATGAGTAATGGCATGTAAAAAGTAAAAATCACTTCACCTGCTTTTCCATTTCACTTAAAAGATTTTTATCATTTAAAAATTAAAAATTCTTCTTTTTAAGACGGGACTCAACTGAAATCTGAAATGTAAAACCTTTGCTACCCTCTTTTGGAAACAATACGCAAAATAGAGCCAATGAATAACAAGTCCACACCAAATAACCATAGCAAACAAACCAAAACTGTTTTCCTCTTGGTTAACGGTGGAGTTAAAATTTCTGAGGTGGGTTTCAGTGAGGTTTTCCCTTGATTTTAGCACCTCAGACAGAAAACCAGTCAAGTTATCTTGAATTGTGGTTCTCGTCAAAGACTATAAGCCTGTAGCTCTTGAGGAATTTTAAATTCCATTACCACACAAATACAACATCATCAACAGAAACCATGGAAAAAGTTCATTAATGGAAGTTCAGCAATCACAAAAGTCAGATTTCGGAATTGAAGCCGCATGAGTTCATGTAGGATTTCAGAAAAGGAGAATCGTTTCTCCTACACAGTGCAGGCATTTACTTACAAGCTTTTCTTTCTATGTTGCTTACATTTTTTTTTGCTTCTTCATACCTTCACAATTTATTATCTTTGGTTCTGGTTTGCTGGTTTTCATAGCAAAGGTTTCAATAGTCATTTTGAAAAGGAGATTGTGGGAATGGGGAGAGTACTTCAACAAGGTGGGAGCTACCACAAAAGTTTCTCCTATGCTTTTCTATTCCATGTCAAAAATCTTGTTGGTCTCCTCTAGTTTGTCCTCAGCATTACTTTGTACTCTCTTGTCCTTAATGTATCTCTTCCACGTGACAACTCCTGATTTCTCCTCTATTGTCTCCTTATCCTAGGAATCATGAAGGAGTTGGTTTGAGCTGCAATGGGCTCCAGATTAAAAGTCTAGATGCTCATTGAAATAGAGGATGGTGGTGGTGGTTTGGAGAATATGGAGGGAAATTTAAAGGTTCTGAAACGAGTTAAAACTGGTTATCTGACTTTATTCCAGGTGATGCTTTTTGTTTTTAACCAAGGAGAGTAAAATAGGAAAGAGAAACAAGAAGCATAGGAGAAGAAACGGTTGGTGGTTAATCACTTTTGAAATGGCAGCATTTGAACTGGACTTGAAGAGAAATCACTTATTCAAATGCACTATATCCGGAGCGATGTATAAGTGATCATGCAATTTATGGTGTTGTATCTAATAAGTATTCTGTTTGACATTGGTATGGTAGGCATATACTAGGGGTGCAACTTGGGTACCCAAACTGAATATTTTACACTATCTTGGGCTTGGGTCCATTCAAAATATAACTTAGCATATATTGCATGGTCACTTATACAAGTTTCAAACTTAGCATATACAAATATGAGAGCAGGATGGACAAGATAGAGGGGGTGCGTTGGAGTCTTATATGATAAGATTATGCCACTTCAATTAAAAGGAAAATTTAAAATGAGCAATGTTGGGAAGCCAAGGTAACATGTTGATTCTAGGGGTAGTTTCAATAGGTAATAAAATGAGGGAAAGTAGAATAAGAAGGTTTGTTATGTGCAAAGAAGACCTACAAAATCTATAAGAAGTGCTTTGTTACAAGTTCTACGGGCTAGACGAGCTAGGGATAAAGATACGAGTTGAAGTAGGGACAAATCATTTAAGGGCCCATTACTTATCAATGGATATAGCATTCAACAGAATGGAATGGCAGCATAGGATTCACATAGCTGACTCTAATAGGAATTAAAAAAAAAAAAAAAAACTTCAGGCTTTCTAGTTACTTTCTACATTTGTACAAAATGTGGTATTCCTTGGTAGGATATTGACATAATGAAAAAAATAAAACAACTCTAGAAGTTTATCAATTTAGCTAGCTATTGAGAAAAAAAAAACAATTTAGCTAGCTAGCTTGATATTTTGTAATTACATCTTTCTAGTTGTTAGTGTTTTGTGGTTAGTTGATTGTTTATTCAATCTTTTTGTATCTTTGAGTGCACCAGCCAATTAGGCTCTGTTTGGCATCAATTCTAGGACCTCATTCTCAAAATCTTTTTAGAAAAGAGTGGATTTTGAGAATTTTCATCCAGAGAATCACCAAATGTGCTTGGCACAATCATTTGTTTCTTGTTTCTCAAAAATAGAATCACATTTAGCAGCAACTAATTTTTTGGAATCGGTTCTCTAGATGACTGAAACTGCACTATACTCAATTACATTTAAGTCATTGTCGAATACATATAAAAARGGAGATAAGTCACATGTTCACACATGTTCATGTCCAAGGGTGCCTTTGAAGGTTGAGGTCTCTACAACCATGTCCAAGGATCCCTTTGATGCTCACTACATATATAATGACAATTAGTAATTGTCTCTACACACAACTTAGTTCGATACGAAATCTCTAGGAGCACCAACACAATTGGACCAATGCTAAGATTTCATTATGTTTCAACATATTCAACAGACCATGGGTGCGATTTCTTCTAGAGGATAGTCTATAGGTTTTAAGGCTACTATCTAACCTCGAACTAGGAGTTGAAGGAGATAGCAGCCCTCWTATCCAAGGTTGAACTTACAAAACTGGGAGTTGAAGGAGATAACAACTCTCGTATCTAATCTCCAATGCTGTCGCCCAACTTTGGTGTGCTAGGCAAAAGGATTTGAAAGTTGAAAATTGATGCTTCTCTTCTCTACTTTTTCACAAGATAGTCTTAAAGACGAATGAATACAATTGAAGCCACAACTAATTAGTTATAATGAACACCACTTGAATTCTCTCGCTCTCTCCAACACCATAAATAACAGAGATTTCTAAGAATAAGGTCACGAAAGTTGAGCAAAAAATATTTAATGCTARAACCTTTGCTGTCCAAAACAACAAATATCCAAAGTTGACTTGATGTGCTATTATTTACAAGGGACTAATTTTTTAAGATGTTCAACAATCTTTTTTTGCTTATTGGGACTTTGATAGGCATGACATATACATGCTTTGCAATTAATGTGGAATACAATAATTGAAAGATTTTATAATGGTTCTTTTAACAATTTARTAGGAAGTTCAATGAACGTATAATAAACTTAATTGTCAATACATATCGTTAAGAGCACATYAATGAACATGAATAAACTTTTTGGATTAAAATAGTGACCCGACTTACATCAGCACAACTTAAATACATATCAATAAGAGCATTCACAACTAAACTTCTTCAATATATTTAATGATTTCATATCAGTGCATGTAATAAGCTTAACTGTCAAATTGCAAATTTATTCAAGTTGTTCACTTGATTATCTGCTCAAGGTTTGGTTGACCATTTTGTTATTATTAAAATTTGAAATCATGAAAAACTAATATGTATGTAAATTCTCTAATGAGCCACCAATTATAGATGAAATTTCATTGGAAAACTATGATTTAAGTCTATCTTTGGTTTGTGGGAAGATTTTGGCAGGATGGGAAAAGATAGGATGATATGGAAAGGGAAACTAGGAGGAAAATTTTCACGTTCCATTTCTTGGTTGCAAAAGGGAAAATAAACCCTAGTAGAAAATTTTAATTAATTAATTAGTAGTATTTTATTATTGTTAATTATTATTTATTAATATTTTAATGAAATAATATTGCAATTATTAAATATTGATAATTTTCTAATTATTTATCATTAATAATTAGTATTTTAAAATATATTTTGTTAATATTTACTATGAATTAATTAATAATATTATTTTTACTATTTATTATTGTTAATTATTTAAAATTTTTGTTGAATCACTAATTAGAATAATAAAATCCTTATTTATTTATTCATTAATTACTTAGTTAAATAATTATTAACTTTTTTGTTAATTATTAAGTAATTCATAATATGTTTTTATTATTTAGTTTTCCATTATTAATTAGATATTAATTATTTAAAATCCATAAGAAGTTAGTTAATTATTTTAATTAATTAACATTTTACAATTTTTTAGTTTATAAGTTATTATTAAAATTATATTTTATTAATACCTATTAATGAATTAATAAGTTGAATATTTTAATAGAATTTATTCATAAATTATTAAATTTGTTTTCATTATTGAATTATTTAGTATAACATATTTTAATTAAATTATTAATTATAAAATAAWTTTTTAATTATTAATTACCTACGAAATTATTATTGAATATTTTTATTTAATGTTATTTATTAATTTTTTATTAAATTATTTTTTAATATGTTATGAAATAATTAATCATTTATTTATGGGTTATGAATATTGTATTAATTAATTAGATAATTATTTAATAACCTTGTATTATTTCATTATTAAACTAGGGTTGGTTTTTCCACTATTTTCCCTTTTGAAACAAAAAAATGGAACATGAAAAATTTCCACCCATTTCCTTTTCCTATCCAATCCCATCCTTTCCAATCCCACCAAAATCTTCCTACAAACCAAATACAACCTTAAACCAGTGACTTCCAATTAAATTTGATCTGTAGTTTGTGGGTCATTAGTTTATTGCAATACATACCTAGAAGTCTTTCATGATTTTAAATCTTAATAATAAAAAATGGTTTATCAAACCTTGACCAGTTAACGAAGTGAACAATTCAAATGAATTTGCAACTTGATAGTTAAGTTTATTACATGTTCAGATATGAAATCGTTGGATATATTGAAGATGTTTTAGATGTGAATGCTCTTATTGATACGTATTAAAGTTGTGCYATTGTAGGTTGGGTTGCCAGTCCAATCCAAAAGGTTTATTATATGTTCTTTGATATGTTCTTATTGATATGTATTTACAGTTAATTTTATTATATGCTCATTGAACTTCCTATTAAATTGTTAAGAAAATCATTATAAAAATCTTCCAATTATTGTATTCTACACTAATTAAAAAGCATAGATCTGTTTCGCTTTTCAAATTCACAATATGCAAAGATTTTTGAACATCTTTAAAAATTAGGCCCTTGTAGCTAGTAGCTCATCAAATTAATTTTGGGGTTTTGTTGTTTAGATTCAACAAAGGTTCTAGCATTAAATATGTTTGGCTCAACTTTCTTGGCATTGTTGTTGGAGATCTTTGGTTTTTATGGTGTTGGAGAAAGAGAGAGTTCAAGTGGTGTTCATTATAAATGAATACTTGTGGCTTTAATTGTATTCATTTGTCTTTAAGATTGTATTGTGAAAAAGTAGAGAAAAGAAGTATCAATTTTCCACTTTTAAATCCTTTTTGTCTGGCACACTCAAGGTTGGACAGCCGCCTTGGAGATTGGACATGAGAGAGAGAGAGAGCTACTATCTCCTTCAACTCCCAGTTTTGTAAATTTAAGCTTGCATAAGAGGGATACTATCCCGTTCATCTCCTAGCCCGAGGTTGGGAAACAGCCTAAGAAACCTATAAACTATCTTCTAGAAGAAATCATACCTATGGCTTGTTGAATATGTTAAAACATGATGGAAGTTTTTCATTGATCCAATTATGTTGGTGCTTCCAGAGATGTCATATCGGATTGAGTTGTGGAGAGAATTACTAATTGCCATTATATATGTAGTGAGCAATTGAGCATTAAAGGGATCATTGGAATTGGATATATGTATTTGACATATATCCTTGGACATGAACATGTGACTTATCTCCTTTTTTATATGTATCTAACAATGTAGCTTCAGCCATCTTGGGAATTGATTCCAAGAAATTGGTTGCTGTCGAACATGATTCGAAACAAGGAAATAGATGACATTTGACGATTCTATTGGACATGAAGCTAGATTTTCATTAGGGGTGATACAACTCTTCTGAAATCTGAACCCTTTTGAGTCAATTGAATTTGTACAAAGGGTAGCTAGTTTTGTAGCTGAGTTGTTATTGTACAGTCTTGTGGGGGATCATGGTGTAGAAGGAAGATTCTTTAGTGATCTAGTTGGTTTCTTGCATACATGTGTAAATTGGATTGTGTAGGGCTAGCTTGATACGACTTTGCCTATTGCCCGTTCTTGGTGGGCCGTGCCATGCTGGTCCATAGGCCATGTTGGGCCATGCTTGCCTCTTCTAGGATACTTTAGAGGTCAAGCACGGCATGAGCCCAAGCGGGTCAAGCCTGGCCTTGAGAGTCATATTAAAAAAAATCGAAAAATATAATGGAAATTTTAAAATAAGTTTACAAAATAGATAAAAAATTGAAAAAATCTTAAAATTTATATATATTAATGTATTATATATTATTATATATATCATATATATCATATATATCATATTATTATATAAACATGCGTGATTTTTATGTGAAATATTATTTTATAGTTTGATGCTATTTTAATGTTTTTAGGGTCATTATCCGTGTGATAACAAAGAACAACATGTTGAAGAAGATGGGCAAAAGATTTTGAAGATGGCTCTTGATGAAATCAAGATTTTCTTGTATGCAACTAATAGTCGAGATTACTTGTTCCTGATGGTATAAAACTTTAGTGTTTCAACTGGTTGTAAGGGCCATTCTTGATCTAGACCAAGCAGAAACTTTCTTATGGCTATTCTTTTGGAAATTCAAGTTCATCTGGGGCACGTGTAGGACATATGTGTTTTAAGAGAGTCCTGTGGCTTATTCTTGTCCTAATTGGTTTAACAAATAAGTAAGCTTTTCCTTTCCTACTGTTGCCTAGATTGTTTTAGATGCATGAATGAAAAAAAGCTTGTTGAATGTGACTTCTTARTGCTCTAAAATTGTGTGAAGGGAATCAAAGTGAGAATGTGGAATTTGTCTCATGATGTAACAAGTGCAAGTTATTGCTCTCTATTTGTCTTTGTAGTTTCAGTGTTTAGGTAAAGTGAATTTAGTCAGGTTCTGTTGGGCATTTCTCTTTGGAGTCTGTTAAATTCAACGCCTGTTAAGGTTGCAAGAGATTTAAACTCATAAGTTACAGTGAACTCCTTAGACATGTTAGACTCAAGACTTTGATGTATCAAGGGAAGGAATGATAAATCTCATAGTATAGTAGAGCGAGGGAAAGTCACTAGTTTACTTTAAAGGAGGGGATGCTGAAGAAAAGTGTATATTATATGTACGAGGGAATGAATGGCCTAAATTGGCCTAAGTTTACTCAAGTATGGTGGTCTCTAACTATTCAATATTTTCCAGAATGCTTTTGGAGATTTATAAGAATGACATATTGTGTTCCTGGAATCCTTTTTCAATCTAGCATTTTTGCCAACTATATATTACTCATCTCAACTGAACTCAAGAGATATTTGTCCCAATTATATGGAATTGGCTACATAAATCTGTATATGTGCCTGTTTAGTCTGTATTGGAAGTGTGTGAATGTGACTATATGTATCTAAGTTTAGTTTGTATTGGAAGTGTTGATAAATGGTTCTTAATTTGTGAATCGTGTCATGCATAATATGCTAAACTCAAGAAAAAATTCAGTTAACATAAAATCCATTTTCATCTTCACTGAACTTTTACTCTTTCATCACTCGAAAGCAACAATCAGTCTCAAACTTGCCAAGGTAAACTAAGCTCTTTCATAGTTATTGGTAATTTATCCTTGTATTGATAACATGCTGCAGAGTGCAGAATCTGTTGAGTGACAATAAAAGCGAAATCATTACTGATGGCAATCACATGAGCTCAAAGGTAGTTAGTTGATCCTTCAAGATGAAAATACGGGCATTCGCCATAAAGGTATCACAACATTGTCTTTATTGGTTTCATTTTATATTGTCAACATGATGAATTTGATTATACATAACTACATTGAAAATTTATTTTCTAGGGCTTGTTGTTGATGGAAGGAACATAAGTTCTAAGGCAACCATCAAGAAAGGCAAAGGGGATCTTGGCAACCGGAAAGGTCTTGGCAACACCACCAAACATATCATGTCCTCAATAGGAGACATCGTCAAAGAAGAAGAATTATCCAAAGGAGTTCAATATAGCCAATGAAGCATATTTACATGACGAAAGAAAATGCATAGAGAAGCAAGCAGCAACAATGGACCATTATTTTTTGGACACATTTCTTTTAGATCATGGTCATGACATGACTCTGATACATTAGTATTTGTGGGGTGCTAGTAAATGAGTTTATGCAACTGTTGTTAGTTGGATGAAGATCAGGAGCATGGTTCACAAGTTTCCAATTCAATGGGATACTCTTTCCTCCCATTTGCAATTTTAGAGAGTTGAATTTAGACTTTAAGCCAGATGATGATACCAGTGTTGGTTCTCCTAAGTTGCTCTAAGAATTTCTGCGTGGCATGTCTCCCAATCATGAAGGGTTATGAGCTCAACTACCTCTTCAAATTTCAGCTCCTACAACTGCAGATATTAACTGAACAATTTGTTTTGCCTTGTCATGCAAATGTGATTAGTCAATTTCTCTCATTTGTGATTTGTCAATTTCCTGAAAATTATACAAATACGAAGACCTTTTGTATTTCATACCTAGATGGGACATAATGCATATATATGTATTTGACCTCTCAAAGATCTGAAACTTTGGCATTTATTTGCACCAAAAAGAAAAAATAGTAAGGAAATAACAACAGTTATGTTCAAAGGCTACCATGTCTACGCAACTTTATGTTAGACTGAATCCATTTTGCGTGAATCATTTTCCCCCTCTTTTGTATTTCATACAACCTTTATTCTCCTGGTTCAATTTTGCATCTAATTAATAATTGACACGTAGGTTTTCCGGACAAGCACACGTAGGTTTTCCGGACAAGCACACGTAGGTTCAATTTCGCAAGACTCCAGACTCGYTTGCATTTGAACTCACTTGAGCCTAATTGCAGACTGAACTCCTAGGTGGAAGTCACAAATCACAGATTCGCTTGAGCCAAGCCTGTATGGGGTTTTTTCTACACTGAGAAAGTTAGAAATGTTTGACCCATGACTTGACAAGCATTTCGGTTTTGTATTGGATTCGAGTCTTAAAACTTTGATTTACACAGAAAAAATGGGCGAAAGAATAATGATCCAAACATTACCAAATAAGATATTTACCATTATTAATTACTCAATTTTCATGTTTAAAAGAACTGATATTTAGCCATCACCGTTCTAGACTCTAGAGGATACAGGCTTCGGTTCCACCAAATGGGCTTATACACCCCTACTGTTTGCAAAATCGTTTAGGGGGTGTTCTTGTTTTGGATTTTGAGAGGGAGGAAAGTTGGTCAAACCAATAAACACATGTTCTTTTTTAGAATTTATGTGGGGAACAGGAAAAGTTTATTTTCTTGGGTATTTCCTAGGTGGGTAAATAACTTTCCCATTTGGGGAAAGTTGCCAACACTTGAATGGTACAAAAATGCCAATTTTAATAATTGAATTTTATGGCTAAAATGGTCATTGCCTTATTTACTTGGGAAATAAAAGAAAATGGGTAAATGTATTTCCCTGTTTAAGTCTTTCCTAGGAAACACTTATCTAAGTAAATGTATTTACTCGGATAAATAACTTACCGAAAAGCGAACAGGGCCTTAAAATACCTTTCCTTTACATTCTAACAATTGACTAATTCTATAAAATCTGTCACATTCCATTTGCGTGATTGCTATAACTTTTTAAAACCCAATTTTCTCCTTTTAACCTTTCTAGGCTAGTAGAATTTGGTTTCAAGGATTTACATTCGTTGATATTCTTTTGGCGGCCTCCTCTTTTCCTCTTTCCCWATTCTTGTCTTTAAGTTGATCATGGCATCTGAACCACAACCAGTGGTACCTATTTGGAAGTGTTTCCAAATGTTCATAAACGGTGATCGTCACCGACTCAAGTGTATCTACTTGCTGGGACAAAATGTTTTCGGGTGGCAGATACATAGGGATTATAGCATAGAAATTGGGTCTTTTAGGGTTTGGGTTAAATCTTTATACTATTGGGTTTTGATTTGGACCGATTTGTTGCCTAAAAAATCACACTAAACTTGTGCCAAATCCATGTATTGTAAAATTAGCTTACATTGCTCACTTCCATCTTTGTTGAATGGCTCTCTAGCAAGTTTGGAGCTTGATATGCAAATAACTCGTGGTGATATCTGATCCAACAATGCTAATTCAAGTTGTGCTTTTTACRCAAAAAAATAGAGGCCTTGACGCATTTTCGAAAATGGTTTCGATTCATTTAGAAACCCATAACATGTGATACACAATACAACATATTTTAAATTTATATAATAAATATATAAAATAATAATAATAATAATAATAATAATAATAATAATAATAATAATAATAATAATAATAACAATAATAATATATAAATATTACTTTAAAACTTAGGAAATTAATAAAAATTAGTAGTTCATAAATTAAAAACTAAAATACAATTTAATTCTATTTAAATATAATCAATATTTATAATATATTTAAAATTAATAATACAAAGTAAAAGAATAATAAAATAAACCATCT